TATATAAAATATTATTTATTATATTATTACTATTATTAATATATGTATATATATATATATATATATATACCAAATGCCTGGACTTGCGCTTGTCTCTAGCTACGCACAAACGCCAATATGTACTCGGGCGGAACCCAATAAAGGCAAGCCTCCAATAGCACTCATGATTAGACATACCAATGATCACACATGATTTTATATACACACATACCCTGTATTTACACATTCGTACGCTCAACTTAGTTGAGATTCTCTCTTACTGTACCGTACATATTTTCACAAGCACACACGTGTACATACACGCATACACAGCTAAACACAGAGCTATAGCATACTACTGCCAACCACCACACACACCCGCGGCCAGGGCATGCATTGATCCCACACACTATCACATACAACGAAGAAGAAGGACCCGTACCTACCTTATGTTTGCCTGACCGGTCTGAATCTTTATGCGCTCGCGCACCCTTCACAGTACGGCGTCTCCTTGGGTTTGGATCCAGATGCGGGTCTCTAGGGTTATTCGCCGAGCCTTCCTCTAACAGCGCTAATAAGTTCAGCTTGGTCTGTGGGCGTAGTAGATGCAGGGAATTGTGCGACGGGGAGTTGTCAGTGCTTGTTGCATGCGTATTAAAATGCTCCTTTGTATTATGTAACAACAAGCGTGCACGTGTGCAATTGTATGGGCCTATGCACCTGAAGTGAGAGATTGTGTAGTGATCGAGGCTTCTATCGCTACACAAACACATTGAACACGCGAATGTGTACATAGACTCTGCACCCCCTCACACGCACAATCTATACACACGTTCCAATGTAGCTTGTAATTTTGGAAGATACTTTTACACACATTCCAATGTACCTTGTAATTCTGGAAGTAGTTCTTTATCTGGTTAGGGGTTTTAGTAGGAATCAACTCGGCCAATCGCGCCCAATTGCGACCACATGTACGGAAGTTGTTAATGAAATCTTCTTTCTCTTTAAATGTCCAGTATGAGACCACTCGCCGCTCCTTTCGCTTTCCATCCGCTGATAATGATTTGACAGGCGAAAAGGTGAAGGGAAGGCTTATTAAGTTATCAATGAACGGTTAAAACTTTATGATATGGAATTCTTAAAAAAACTGACCATAGATTGGCATACACTACACTCCCACTTCCAAATAAAACCAACTCTCATATGCATCTTAAACAAAATAAACTATCGTCAACCAGCATCACTCCTTCGATGTAACCGTGGACACGCAGCAAATAGGCCAACGATGAGAAGTTGCCTATAGAGCCACCTGCGGGTAATGTGATAAAATCATACCCTCCATCACATCTGTGAACTCGGTTCGCTCTATATCGGGTCCAACGAGTGACGGGGGTTGGTCGTGCATTTGGCCCTGTCCTTCTTTGGGATAAATGGGCTCGGTTTGTCCTGTTCTGTGTGGTTGGTGGTCACTCATACTGTCTCTCCCGGAGACATCCAGATGTGCCTGACTGTCGCCTACGTTCAGACTGCCGCAACTCTGCTTCCTGACGGTGCCCGGTGGTCCGCCTAGTTGTCGGTGTAACGATACAGATACAGTAGAAAGTTCATCATCAGATACATGCATGCTTCAATCGGAAGAAGAAACAGATAAGGCCAAGCGTGCTACCAGACATCCGTTCCCAGGGATGCTGAGCAGCACGCAGACTTGAAAAGAAAAGAAAAGGCGTCTGCCACGAGTAATATGTATCAGACAGGACGTGCATAGACACGTACACTACACCGATTACGGCTATCCTGTGAGCAACTATGTCTGGCGATGTGAGTTCCGTCGAGTTCACACGTGTAGATACAGAACATACAAACATGCACAATCACAATGTGTGTGGCCTGCATGTGCCTTCCGGACGCGATTGAAACGCAAGAGATGACGACACAGGACCTTTGACTTAGTATATACAATACTTCAGGATAAACACATCCACCGTGTGTGGTTGCCAGGCAACGGTGCGCAGAGGAGTACACAGCCCAGCCCGCACATACCTGGATTTTTGAGCTCTTTGTCGGATTTACCGCTGGATGCCCTTACGCGGCCGGTACCGTTAGTCGATTGCGATAGTGGGTCTGGCAGACCCACGCCTAGCATGTCCATATCTGAGAGTATCAGGTGCGTGTGGATAAGAGGTCAATACAAAACGTGGTTGTAATCCTACTATGTCGGAGTGTGCTCGAGAATATATTA